GACACAAAAGGCTGGCTGTATTAACGAGTTGGTGTTCTCCCTAATTGCAGCTGGGAATAAGGAGCCGGCTTCGAGCTTGCCGCTAAATGAACGTATTGATTTCAATTAACCGAGCCATGCCTTTCTCTGAAAAACTGAGATAGGGTCCCCATTTGTCGAGTAAATATTTCACGGATTTCGTGCATTTATGGAAGGCCTGCACTCAAAAAACAAAATTACAGACTTTTATTATGTTTGGGTTGTTGTAGGTTTTTTTTCGGGCTATATGGCCATGGTCTAGAGGCATTCTCTCCTGACGTTTCGACTGCATCTATGGCAAGCATCCTCAGAGGTAGTGAGGTCTGTTGGAACTAGGAAAAAGGTGTTTATATATCTGTGGAATGACCAGGGTGGGACAAAGGACTCTTGCCTTCTGGAGCTAGGTGCGAATGTTTCAACTGATCACCTTGATTAGCATTTGATTGCCTGTCAGTGCCTGAAGCAATCTTGTTGAGAGGTGATTTGATGTCCCCGTTTGTTTCCTCTCTGTTGTTGTGCTGTTCTAATTTTAGACTTTTATTATGTTTGTTTGTGCATCTCGTTCCATCGGTATAAAAAAAGGAAAAGGTTTCCAACCTCTATTTCTTTATATCTCACAAACTCCAGGTTTCTACAAAGGGATCTGGGGCGAATTTACACCACATAGTTATAGCGCTAAGATTCCACTTTAACTCATATAGTAGAATCCTGGGATGTGTAGTTTGGCCAGGCACCCAAGGGCTCTTACTGGGAATTCAAAATGGCCCTCCATATACATACACGTACTTGCACATATTGTCTTTTAAGATAAAGGTAAAGGTTGTCCCCTGACATTAAGTCCAGTCGTGTCCAACTCTGGGGGTAGTTGCTCATCTCCATTTCTAAGCTGAAGAGCTGGCATTGTCCGTAGACACTTCTAAGGTCATGTGGCCAGCATGATTGCATGGAACCCCGTTACCTTTCCGCTGGAGCGGTATCTATTGATCTACTCACATTTGCATGTTTTTGAATTGCTAGGTTGGCAGAAACTGGGGCTGACAGCGAAAGCTCACTCCACTCCCCAGATTCGAACCTGCGACCTTTTGGTCTTCAATCTCAGCAGCTCAGTGGTTTAACCCACTGCGCCACTAGGGGCTCCATATTGTCTTTTAATGCATCTTAATATATTTTAAGATGCAGGCGTGGGGTTTTTTTACCTTAGGAACAGACAAGCATCTCGAGTGCTGAGGTTTACCTGGGAAGGAATCCCACTGGAGTATTGCAGCACACCTAAATACCTGGGAGTTACCCTGGACCATTCTCTGATCTACAAGAAGCACTTCTTGACTATCAAGAAAAAAGTGGGTGCAAGAAAGAATATCATACGAAAACTGACTGGCACAACCTGGGGATCACAACCAGGTACAGTGAAGACGTCTGCCCTTGCACTTTACTACTCTGCTGCTGAGTATGCATGCCCAGTGTGGAATACATCTCACCATGTTAAAACAGCGGATGCGACTCTTAATGAGACATGACACATTATCACAGGATGTCTATGTCCTACACCACTGGAGAAATTATACTGTTTAGCCGGTATTGCACCACCTGACATCCACCGGGAAGTAGCAGCCAATAAAGAAAGGACCAAGGCAGTGACATCTCTGGCCCATCCCCTGTTCAGATGTCAGTCAGCACACCAATGCCATAAATCAAGAAATAGCTTTTTAAGATCAACAGAGATACTCTCAGCAAGCGAGAGTCCAAAAGTGGCAGGCTAAATCCCAGAACCTCAATCCATGATGAGAGATTCCCTCCTGGGCACACAGAAGACTGGGCAACTTGGAAGGCACTGAACAGACTCCGCTCTGGCACCACGAGGTGCAGAGCCAACCTTAAGAAACGGGGCCACAAAGTGGAGTCCACAACATGCGAGTGTGGAGAAGAGCAAACCACTGACCACCTGCTGCAATGCAACCTGAGCCCTGCCACATGCACAACGGAGGGCCTTCTCACAGCGACACCAGAAGCACTCCAAGTGGCCAGCTACTGGTCAAAGGACATTTAGTATCATACCAAGTTTTGGAAACTTTGTTTCTTTTAAATACATTACAACTGCATCCTCAATTCGCTTGTGATGTGAAAAATAAATATCTTTTTGTTGTTACTTTTCTAAAGTTTAACACAATCTAGCCATCAGTGTTACAAACTTTAAAGAACATGTCACTATATAACACACATACCAACAAAACACAAACTAAACAGACATATTTGCCACTACTCCGTCCAATATATATTTTGCAGAGAGAGAAGGGAAAGGAGTGGGATTTGCCGCATTTCAAAATATTGGAACACCACAAATTGTTTACCTATTTTTAAAAAAATATTACATTTATACTTTCCCTCCGAGTTTTGTATTGTTCGTAATGTAGATAGTTTTAAATATGTTGTTAGTCACCTTGACTCCCACTATTGGGAAAATGAATGGATGTAATATAATAATAATAATAATTATTATTATTGATGAGAAGCAACTGGAAAAACTTGTACCATATGAGGATTTCAAGATAGAACTACAAAGACCTGAAACAAGCCAGTCAAGGTGGTCCCAATGGAGATTGGCAGACTGGGTGCAGTGCCTAAAGACCTTGGCCTGCACTTAAAAACAATGGGTGCTGACAAAATTATATATTTTATATTGTTTGTAATTTAGATCATTTTCAATATGTTGTCAGTTACCTTGAGTCCCACTATTGAGAGAATGAATGGATGTAATATAATAATAATAATAATAATAATAATAATAATAATTATTATTATTATTATTATTATTATCATCATTGACGAGAAGCAACTGGAAAAACTTGTACCATATGAGGATTTAAAGATAGAACTACAAAGACCTGACACAAGGTGGTCCCAATGGAGAGTGGCACACTGGGTGCAGTGCCTAAAGACCTTGGCCTGCACTTAAAAACAATTGGCACTGACAAAATTACCACATGTCAGCTGCAAAAGGCCACCCTACTCAGATCTGCATGCATTATTCACCAATACATCACACAGTCCTAGACACTTGGGAAGTGTCAGATGTGTAATCAAATACAAAAGTCAACATACTGATTGTGTTTGCTGTGTACTAATCTTGTTGTGTATCCAATAATAATGATGATGATGATGATGATGATGATAATAATAATAATAATGATATAGAAGAGGCCATTACAGCTGGGTTGCTCTCTGATGATTAAGACTGGATGAACTCCTGAACCATACATACCCATCATGACCAATATTAAGTATTGGTGGATTTGGGGGGAATTGACCCAGGATGATGGGAATTGTAGTTCACCTGTATCCAGAGAGTACTGTGAACCACATTGAGGATGTACCTGGACCAAACTTGGCACACAAACCCATCATGACCAATATTAAGCATTGGTGGGGTTTGGGGTGTGTGTGTGTGTGTGTGGAATTGGCCTGGGATGATGGAAGTTGTAGTTTAATCTTATGGGAAGAGTATTGTGAACCCCACTGAAGATGGATCTGGGCCAAACTTAGCACACAGATACATAATGATCAGTTTTATGTATCTGTGTGGGGTTTGGGGGGAATTGACCTGGGATGATGGGAATTGTAGTTCACCCATAAGAGAAGAGCATTACAAGCCCTTCTGACTACGGCTCTTGGCCAAACTTGGCACAGCTACCCATCATGCCCAGTGTCAAGTATGGGTGGAGTTTTTTGTGGGGGGGGAGGATTGACCTGGGATGATGGGAGTTGTTGTTAACTCATCTGCAAAGAGCATTGGGAACCCCACTGAGGATAGATCTGGAGGAACATACTTGGCGCACAGACCCATCATGAGCAATGTTAAGCATTGGTGGGGTTTGGGCGGAATTGACTTGGGATGGTGGGAGTTGTAGTTCACTCATTGTGAAGCCCATTGTGAACCCCACTGAGGATAGATCTGGAGGACCATACCTGGCACACAGACCCATCATGACAAATGTTAAGCATTGGTGGGGTTTTGGGGGAATTGACTTGGGATGATGGGAGTTGTAGTTCACTCATCAGCAAAGAGCATTGTGAACCCCACTGAGGATAGATCTGGAGGACCATACTTGGCACACAGACCCATCATGACAAATGTTAAGCATTGGTAGGGTTTGGGAGGAATTGACTTGGGGTGTTGGGAGTTGTAGTTCACTCATCTGTAAAGAGCATTGTGAACCCCACTGAGGATAGATCTGGAGGACCATACTTGGCGCGCAGACCCATCATGACAAATGTTAAGAATTGATGGGGTTTAGGAGTAATTGACCTGGGATGATGGGAGTTGTAGTTCACTCATCTGCAAAGAGCATTGTGAACCCCACTGAGGATAGATCTGGAGGAACATACTTGGCGCACAGACCCATCATGACCAATATTAAGCATTGGTGGGGTTTGGGGGGAACTGACCCAGGGATGATGGGAGTTGTAGTTCACCCATAAGAGAAGAGCATTATGAACCTTCCAACTATGGATCTTGGCCAAACTTGTCCAATGTCATGTATGAGTGGAGTTTGGGGGGGGGGGGGAGGTGATTGACCTGGGATGATGGGAGTTGTAGTTCACTCATCTGCAAAGAGCATTGTGAAGCCCACTGAGGATAGATCTGGAGGACCATACTTGGCACACAGACCCATCATGACTAATGATGGGTATTGCCCCCAGGGTGATGGGAGTTTAATTTGGCTGCATCGAACCACCTTCCATTTAGCTCAGGCATGGGCCAACTTCGGCCCTCCCTCCAGGTGTTTTGGACTCCAACTCCCACAATTCCTAACAGCCTACCGGCTGTTAGGAATTGTGGGAGTTGGAGTCCAAAACACCTGGAGGGAGGGCCGAAGTTGGCCCATGCCTGCTCTACAGTGGGGAGAAGAAAAAAAATCTGAAGTCTTCAGGCGGCCTCTCCGCTTGGGCGGCGCCTCCCTCGGCTTCCTATTGGCCGAGGCGGCCTTTGCCGTCAGAGCTTCCTGCCGCTTTTGTCCTTCGCTTTTCCCCTTTTTCTCCTCCGAGGTCCTTTTTGCCTCCCTTGCAGAGAAGAAGGAAGAGAAGAAGTTAGTCCTTGCAGAGAAGGAGGAGGAGAAGACCTCTCGAAAGAGGAGTCGCTGCGGCTTTGCAAAGGGGAAGAGGGTTTTGCATGAGTGCTTTTTTGGATCTTCATGCAGAAGCTGCAGCAGAAGTGCAAAAAGTCCCTTTCCAACTTGGCTGAAGTTCGATTATTATTATGATTCCTAGTAGAGGATCGCTTATTCTGCTGTTGGAGACTCAAGGATCTTGACTATTTACTCTTGGAAGTGGATTTTGGTTCCTTCTCCTTCTACATATATTGTTTTGGATCAGATCTATGGAGTCCAGGAAGCTACCCAGAAGCTGAGCCTTGCCTGCAACGAAGAAAGGGAAATAGAGGTCAGAAGTATTTCTTTATTTGTTGTTGTTGTTGTTGTTCCTCTTCTTCTTCTTCTTCATCTCCTCCTCCTCCTTCTCCTTTTTCTCCTCTCCTTCTCCTCCTCCTCCTTCTTCTCCTTCTCCTCCCCTCCTTCTCCTCTTCCCTTCCTCTTCTTCTTCTCTCCTCTCCTTCTTCTCTTCCCTTCTCCTCCTCCTTCTCCTCCTTTTCTTCTCCTCCTCCTTCTCCTCCTCCTTCATCTTCTTCTCCTCTTTCTTCTCTTTCTTCTTCTCCTTCTCCTCCTTCTCCCCTCCTCTCCTTCCCCTTTTTCTCTTCCCTTCTTCTTTTTCTCTCCTCCTCCTCCTCTCTTCTCCTTCTTCTCCTTCTCTTCTTTTTTCCTCCTCCTTTTTCTCTCCCTTCTTCTTCTCCTTCTTCTTCTCCTTCTCCTCCTCCTCCTCCTTCTCCTCCTTCTCCTTCTTCTCTTTCTCCTCCTTCGCCTTCTCCTTCTCCTTCGCCTTCTTGCCATAAGCCAATCCAGTAAGGAGGTGACTGCTATCTCTCTCTCTCTCTCTGTGGATGATGGGAGCTGCAATCCAAGAGAGAGAAACACTGCCAAGTTTGTGCCATAAGCCAATCCAGCAAGAAGGGGGTGGCTGCTCTCTCTCTCTATCTGTGGATGATAGGAGTTGCAGTCCAAGAGAAAAACACAACCAAGTTCTTGCAAAAAGCCAATCCAGCAAGGAGGCAAATGCATCTATCATTTATCTATCTACCGTATCTATCTATCTATCTATCTATCTATCTATCTATCTGTGGATGATGGGAGCTGCAGTCCAAGAGATGCTCAAAAGTTGTCTGCTGAACAATCAGGGGGAATGATATAGATATAGACTATGGGAGCTGCAGTACAAAACCCTATATGCGAATGATGGAGCTGCTGTACACAAGAAAAAGTCTCACTTAGAAAGGAGTGAATAGAAATGGATGATGGGAATTGCAGTCCAAGAGAGAGAGCGATAGAGAAATGCTGCCAAGTTCTTGCCAATAGTCAATCCAGGAAAAAGGGGGCAACTGTGTGTGTGTGTGACAGAGAGAAAGATCTGTGGATGATGGGAGTTGCAGTCAAAGAGAAAGAAATGCTCCAAAATTGGGTTGTTGTAGGTTTTTTCGGGCTATATGGCCATGTTCTAAAGGCATTTTCTCCTGACGTTTCGCCTGCATCTATGGCAAGCATCCTCAGAGTAGTGAGGATGCTTGCCATAGATGCAGGCAAAACGTCAGGAGAAAATGCCTTTAGAACATGGCCATATAGCCCGAAAAAACCTACAACAACCCAGTGTTTCCGGCCATTAAAGCCTTCGAGAATACATTGCTCCAAAATTGTCACCTCAACAATCGGGGAATTATATAAATATAGGCTATGGGAGCTTCAGTACAAACCCCAGATGTGGATGATGGGAGCTGCAGTATAAAAGAGAGAGAAAGTATGTCAAGGTCTTGATTGGTTAGAAGGGAGTAACAGATATGATGGGAGTTGCAGTCCAAGAGAGAGAGAAAAAAATGCTGCCAAGTTCTTGCCAAAAGTCAGCTCAGCAGCAATGGAAAGGGACAATTGTATATTCTTGCTATATTGTTGTATTATTGTTATTATTGTTGTTGCAAATCCTGAGGGTTCCTGTTGGCCACTCCACTCAAAGTGCAAAACTTTTTCTAATCTCTCTCCCCTTGAACACACATCCCTTCAGGTCTTCTGTTTCCTGTTGTGTGTTTTTCTTCTCTCTTCAAAAAAACTAGCCTTCTTTGCAACCCGCCTCCAAAAACTTGCAAGAATACATTGCACAGCTTTAAACATCTCCAATGGTACCGCACATGCCTGCAAAGGATAGAGTTAGGTTCCATCTACACCAGGCATGGGCAAACTTGGGCCCTCCCTCCAGGTGTTTTGGACTTCAACTCCCACCATTCCTAACAGCCTCAGGCCCCTTCCTTTTCCCCCTCAGCCGCTTAAGCGGCTGAGGGGGAAAAGAAAAGGGCCTGAGGCTGTTAGGAATGGTGGGAGTTGAAGTCCAAAACACCTGAAGGGCCCTGGTTAGCCCATGCCTGGTGGAAATGCACCCTGAGAAGGAGTTCAAGGTCTGAAAGCTGAAAGTTCACTACTGTTTACATGTGTCCCTTGCAGCCAGTAAGGAAGTAACTTTGCCAACCTGCCTGCACAGCAGTCATATGTATGTAACCACTGCTGTCTCAGGCTTTGCCTCATTTCCTGGAAATCAACGTGACTCCACGCTTTTCAAAGTCTTTTCTAACTCTGGTGGCCTTTATCAATCCCTGGCATCACAGTTTGGAGAAGTTCCCAACCAGCAAGACCAGCAATCACTCTAGGTGTGGATGCTGGGCTTTGCAATCCAAAAGAGAGAGAAATGCAAAAAGTCCAACATCAACAAGTTCTTGCAACATCAAAAGGGGAGTGATGGTATTAGAGTTCTGTTGTGCATGTGCAGAGTTCTCAACTCCAACATAAAGTTCTTGCAACAAGTCCAACAGCAAAAGGGGAGTGGTGGTATTAGAGTTCTGTTGTGCATGTGCAGAGTTCCCAAGTCCAAGTTCGTGCAACAAGTCCAACATCAAATGGGGAGTGATGGTATTAGAGTTCTGTTGTGCATGTGCAGAGTTCCCAAGTCTAAGTTTTTGCAACAATTGCAACATCAAAAGGGTATTAGAGTTCTGTTGTGCATGTGCAGAGTTTCCAAGTCCAACATCAAAAGGGGAGTGATGGTATTAGAGTTCTGTTGTGCATGTGCAGAGTTCCCAAGTCCAAGTTCGTGCAACAAGTCCAACATCAAAAGGGGAGTGATGGTATTAGAGTTCTGTTGTGCATGTGCAGAGTTCCCAAGTCTAAGTTTTTGCAATAAGTCCAACATCAAAAGGGGAGTGATGGTTTTAGAGTTCTGTTGTGCATGTGCAGAGTTCCCAAGTTCAAGTTCTTGCAATAAGTCCAACATCAAAAGGGGAATGATGGTATTAGAGTTCTTTTGTGCATGTACAGAGTTCCCAAGTCCAACATCAAGTTCTTGCAACAAGTCCAACATCAAAAGGGGAGTGATGGTATTAGCGTTCTGTTGTGCATGTGAAGAGTTCTCAAGTCCAAGTTCTTGTAACAAGTCCAACATCAAAAGGGGAGTGATAGTATTAGAGTTCAGTTGTGCATGTGCAGAGGTTTTTCTCCTTTTATTGTATATTTCTTTGGTTTCACGTAGGAAGTGAAATAAAGAAATGTGTAGAGCCTGCATAGGCAAACTTTGGCCTTCCAGGTGTTTTGGACTTCAACTCCCACAATCCCTAATAGCCTACCAGCTGTTAGGAATTGTGGGAGTTTTTTAATTGTATCAGAAGCGAACTGATAGTACAGTTGTAATCTATTTTAAAAGCACAAAGTTAAAAAACTTGGCATGATACTAAATGTCCTTTGACAAGAAGCTGGCCACTTGGAGTGCCTCTCGTGTGGCTTTAAGAAGGTCCTCCATTGTGCATGTGGTAGGGTGCAGACTGCATTGTAATATGTGGTCTGTGGTTTGCTCTTCTCCACACTGACGTGTTGCGGACTCTACTTTGTGGCCCCATTTCTTAAGGTTGGCTCTGCATCTTGTGGTGCCTGAGCGCAGTCTGTTCAGCGACTTCTGTGTCACCCAGTCTTCTGTGTGCCTAGAAGGGAATCTCTCATTTGGTATCAGCCATGGCTTGAGGTTCTGGGTTTGAGCCTGCCACTTTTGGACTCTTGCTTGCTGAGGTGTTCCTGCGAGTTTCTCTGTTGATCTTAGAATGCTATTTCCTGATTTATGGTGTTGGCGTGCTGGCTGATATCTGAACAGAGGATGGGCCAGAGATGTCACTGCCTTGGTCCTTTCCTTATTGGCTGCTACTTCCCTACAAATGCCAGGTGGTGCAATACTGGCTAAACAATATAATTTCTCCAGTGTTGTGGGGCGTAGACATCCTGTGATAATGAGGCATTTCTCATTAAGAGCCACATCCACTGTTGTAGCGTGGTGAGATGTGTTCCACACTGGGCATGCATACTCAGCAGCAGAGTAGCATAGCGCACGGGCAGATGTCTTCACTGTATCTGGTTGTGATCCTTAAGTTGTGCCAGTCAGCTTTCATATGATAGTGTTCCTAGCACCCACTTTTTGGTTGATATTCAAGCAGTGTTTCTTGTAGGTCAGAGCATGGTCCAGGTTAACTCCCAGGTATTTGGGTGCGCTGCAATGCTCCAGTGGGATTCCTTCCCAGGTAATCCTCAGAGCTCGAAGTGCTTGTCTGTTCTTAAGATGAAAAGCACATGTCTGTGTTTTGGATGGATTAGGAATCAGCCTGTTTTCCCTGTAATAGGCAGTAAGAGTGCCTAAAGGTTTGGAGAGCGTCTGTTCAACCATTTCAAAGTTTCCTGCTGGGGTGATGATGGCACGATCATCAGCATAGATCAAACTCTTTGTCCCTTCTTGCAGTGGCTGGTCATTCATGTAAATATCAACATTGATGGAGATATGACACTCCCCTGAAGCAGGTCTTTCTTCTGTTTTTGCCATTTGCTTAGCTGGTCCTGGAATTCAACAAAAAAGCTCCTGTTTTGTAGCAGATTTCCTATGAAGTGGATGAGGTGGTAGTCCTTTGTGATATTGTAAGTTTTTTTCTTAGGAGAAGGCAGTGATTTACAGTGTCATAAGCTGACACCAGAAGCAACCAGAAGTGACTTGCAACGTTGTGGGAGTTGAAATCCAAAACACCTGTGGGACCAACATTTGCCCAGTCCTGGTGTTGAGTGTGTATTTGCTTCAGATAGACACAGGACTTGGCACATATTGCTCTGGTGCAAATAAATGAAAAAAGTAGGCAGTCAAGTGTATGAAGAAAAAAATAGACTGGATCAAGTGGATGTGTTGAGATTGTAAATGAAGCATTTACACATTTTGTAAGTATTTACCTTCAAATCACATGTCAGCACATGGTGACGCCCATACATTTC